ATGAACTTAACTCTCCCTTCTTGTCCTCCAGGTTATACAACTGTAAACGAGACACATTCAATCAACTCAGACGTCAGTTGTGACGGACAACCTCTAACACAATCCATGTATTTTAGATGTGGAACAGAAACACGGACATGGCATTCCAACAGGATCGTAGACTCCGCTGATAAAAATTCTCCTGGAATCGCGACGGACGAAATAATTGCATCACAAAGATTTCGTCAAATGACACCAGAACAAAACACATTGACAGGCCAAACTACCACGTCATCAGGAATGTTCACAGACAAAACTACTACCACGTTATCAGGAACGTTCACAGACAAAACTACCACGTTATCAGGAACGTTCACAGACAAAACTACCACGTCATCTGGACAAACTATGACTCCATCAAGTTCAGGTAACGCTACCACTCCACCAGACCAAACTATGACTCCACCAAATTTAGGTGACGTAAGCAAACTACCAGACCAAACTATGACTTCATCAAGTTTAGGTAAAGCTAGCACACCACCAGACCGAATTCCCATTCATTCAAGTCTAGGTAACGCTACCACACCACCAGACCAAACTACCACTTCACCAAGTCTGGGTAACGCTACCACTCCACCAGACCAAATTACCACTGCACCAAGACTAGGTAACGCTACCACACCACCAGACCAAACTACCACTTCACCAAGTCTGGGTAACGCTACCACTCCACCAGACCAAATTACCACTCAATCAATTTTAGGTAACACTTCCACTCCACCAGACCAAATTACCACTGCACCAAGACTAGGTAACGCTACCACACCACCAGACCAAACTACCACAGCACCAAGTCTAGGTAACACTTCCACTCCACCAGACAAAATTACCACAGCACCAATTCTAGGTAACGCTACCACACCACCAGACCAAACTACCAGTGGACCAAGTCTAGATAACACTTCCACTCCAACAGACCAAATTACCAAAGCACCAAATCTGGGTAACGCTACCACACCACAAGACCAAACTACCACTCAATCAATTTTAGGTAACACTTCCACTCCACCAGACCAAATCACCACTGCACCAAGTCTAGGTAACGCTACCACACCGCCAGACCAAACTACCACTCAATCAATTTTAGGTAACACTTCCACTCCACCAGCCCAAATTACCACAGCACCAAGTCTGGGTAACGCTATCACACCGCTAGACCAAATTACCACAGCACCAAGTCTAGGTAACACTACCACACCACCAGACCAAATTACCACTCAATCAATTTTAGGTAACACTTCCACTCCACCAGACCAAATTACCACTGCTTCAAGTCTAGGTAACACTTCCACTCCACCAGACCAAACTACCACTCAATCAATTTTAGGTAACACTTCCACTCCACCAGACCAAATTACCAGTGCATCAAGTCTAGGTAACACTTCCACTCCACCAGACCAAATTACCACTCAATCAATTTTAGGTAACGCTACCACACCACCAGACCAAATTACCACAGCACCAAGTCTGGGTAACACTACCACACCACCAGACCAAATTACCACAGCACCAAGTCTGGGTAACACTACCACACCACCAGACCAAATTACCACAGCACCAAGTCTGGGTAACGCTACCACACCACCAGACCAAACTACCACAGCACCAAGTCTAGGTAACGCTACCACACAATCAGACCAAACTAACACAGCACCAAGTCTGGGTAACGCTACCACACCACCAGACCAAATTACCACAGCACCACGTCTAGGTAACGCTACCACACCACCAGACCAAATTACCACAGCACCAAGTCTGGGAAACGCTTCCACACCGCTAGAGCAAATTACCACAGCACCAAGTCTGGGTAACGCTACCACACCACCAGAACAAATTACGTCGCAATCAAGTCTGGGTAACGCTACCACACCACCAGACCAAATTACTACAGCACCAAGTCTGGGTAACGCTACCACACCACCAGACCAAATTACCACAGCATCAAGTCTGAATAACGCTACCACACCACCAGACCAAATTACCACAGCACCAAGTCTGGGTAACACTACCACACCACCAGACCAAATTACCACAGCACCAAGTCTGGGTAACGCTACCACACCACCAGACCAAATTACCACAGCACCAAGTCTGGGTAACACTACCACACCACCAGACCAAATTACCACAGCACCAAGTCTGGGTAACGCTACCACACCACCAGACCAAACTACCACAGCACCAAGTCTGGGTAACGCTACCACACAATCAGACCAAACTACCACAGCACCAAATCTGGGTAACGCTACCACACCACCAGACCAAATTACCACAGCACCAAGTCTGGGAAACGCTTCCACACCGCTAGAGCAAATTACCACAGCACCAAGTCTGGGTAACGCTACCTCACCACCAGAACAAATTACGTCGCAATCAAGTCTGGGTAACGCTACCACACCACCAGACCAAACTACCACAGCACCAAGTCTGGGTAACGCTACCACACCACCAGACCAAACTACCACAGCACCAAGTCTAGGTAACGCTACCACACAATCAGACCAAACTACCACAGCAACAAGTCTATGTAACGCTACCACACCACCAGACCAAATTACCACACCACCAAGTCTGGGTAACGCTACCACACCACCAGACCAAACTACCACACCACCAAGTCTGGGTAACGCTACCACACCACCAGACCAAATTACCACAGCACCAAATCTGGGTAACGCTACCACACCACCAGACCAAATTACCACAGCACCAAGTCTGGGAAACGCTTCCACACCGCTAGAGCAAATTACCACAGCACCAAGTCTGGGTAACGCTACCACACCACCAGAACAAATTACGTCGCAATCAAGTCTGGGTAACGCTACCACACCACCAGACCAAACTACCACAGCACCAAGTCTGGGTAACGCTACCACACCACCAGACCAAACTACCACAGCACCAAGTCTAGGTAACGCTACCACACAATCAGACCAAACTACCACAGCACCAAGTCTGGGTAACGCTACCACACCACCAGACCAAATTACCACAGCACCAAGTCTGGGAAACGCTTCCACACCACCAGACCAAATTACCACAGCATCAAGTCTGAATAACGCTACCACACCACCAGACCAAATTACCACAGCACCAAGTCTGGGTAACACTACCACACCACCAGACCAAATTACCACAGCACCAAGTCTGGGTAACGCTACCACACCACCAGACCAAATTACCACAGCACCAAGTCTGGGTAACCCTACCACACCACCAGACCAAATTACCACATCACCAATTCTGGGTAACGCTACCACACCACCAGACCAAACTACCACAGCACCAAGTCTGGGTAACGCTACCACACAATCAGACCAAACTACCACAGCACCAAATCTGGGTAACGCTACCACACCACCAGACCAAATTACCACAGCACCAAGTCTGGGAAACGCTTCCACACCGCTAGAGCAAATTACCACAGCACCAAGTCTGGGTAACGCTACCACACCACCAGAACAAATTACGTCGCAATCAAGTCTGGGTAACGCTACCACACCACCAGACCAAACTACTACAGCACCAAGTCTGGGTAACGCTACCACACAATCAGACCAAATTACCACAGCACCAAGTCTGGGTAACGCTACCACACCACCAGAACAAATTACGTCGCAATCAAGTCTGGGTAACGCTACCACACCACCAGAACAAATTACGTCGCAATCAAGTCTGGGTAACGCTACCACACCACCAGAACAAATTACTACAGCACCAAGTCTGGGTAACGCTACCACACCACCAGACCAAATTACCACAGCACCAAGTCTGGGTAACGCTACCACACCACCAGACCAAATTACCACAGCACCAAGTCTGGGTAACACTACCACACCACCAGACCAAATTACCACAGCACCAAGTCTGGGTAACGCTACCACACCACCAGACCAAATTACCACAGCACCAAGTCTGGGTAACGCTACCACACCACCAGACCAAACTACCACAGCACCAAGTCTGGGTAACGCTACCACACCACCAGACCAAATTACCACAGCACCAAGTCTGGGTAACACTACCACACCACCAGACCAAATTACCACAGCATCAAGTCTGAATAACGCTACCACACCACCAGACCAAACTACCACAGCACCAAGTCTGGGTAACGCTACCACACAATCAGACCAAACTACCACAGCAACAAGTCTGGGTAACGCTACCACACCACCAGACCAAATTACCACAGCACCAAGTCTGGGTAACACTACCACACCACCAGACCAAATTACCACAGCATCAAGTCTGAATAACGCTACCACACCACCAGACCAAACTACCACAGCACCAAGTCTGGGTAACACTACCACACCACCAGACCAAATTACCACAGCATCAAGTCTGAATAACGCTACCACACCACCAGACCAAATTACCACAGCACCAAGTCTGGGTAACGCTACCACACCACCAGACCAAACTACCACAGCACCAAGTCTGGGTAACGCTACCACACCACCAGACCAAACTACCACAGCACCAAGTCTGGGTAACGCTACCACACCACCAGACCAAACTACCACAGCACCAAGTCTGGGTAACGCTACCACACCACCAGACCAAACTACCACAGCACCAAGTCTGGGTAACACTACCACACCACCAGACCAAATTAACACAGCATCAAGTCTGAATAACGCTACCACACCACCAGACCAAACTACCACAGCACCAAGTCTGGGTAACGCTACCACACCACCAGACCAAACTACCACAGCACCAAGTCTGGGTAACGCTACCACACAATCAGACCAAACCACCAGTGCACCAAGTCTAGGTAACACTACCACACCACCAGACCAAACTACCACTGAATCAAGTCTAGGAAACGCCACTTCTCTACCAGGCCAAACTACCACTGAATCAAGTCTAGGTAACGCTACCACACTACCAGAACAAACTACCATTCCATCAAGTTTAGGTAACACTTCCACAAAAACATACCAAATAACCACCCCAGGTTACACTACAACTCCACAGGATCAAACTACCCTTCCTTCAAATTTAGGTAACGCTACCACACAACATGACCAATTTACCACACCACCAGGTCTGTTGACAAACCAAACTACCATTCCATCAGGCCTAGGTAACACTACTTTACCATCAGGTAGTGTTAACACCACGGCGACACCACACTTTGGTATGATGCATCACCAGGACAACACCGATATGGCGGTTGGCGGAGGTTCGAGCACTGCTGTAGGAGCTGTGGTTGGGTCTGTGGTTGCCCTGGTCATCATATGTGTATTGGCTGCTGTGATCCGTCGAGAGATAAGGAGGAGGAGGCGGGTCCGGAGCTTCGAAAATTTGCTTTACTACACGACACCTATGGAGACTGCCGCAAAGCCGAGGTTCGATTTTAGATTACTAACGACACGTAACGGGTACACTACATAGTGTTTATGGACTGGAAGAATATTGTCTTTACATCGATGATGTAGTGACTGAAACCTACATATAGTAGAATATCCTTACGCACGCTCATTATAACTGTAGTGAAGCGCATTCCTGAATTATTGGGCTCGCAGACAGGAGAGACGGAAAAATTATTCCGAGAGATAATATGTCCCCCTTTTTTCCAACATACAATGTATGTACAAGTATGGATGAAGCTGATGTATATTGTAAACTATCAAATTCCAAACTTCATTTGTACATTATTCATGGTTTTATTGGACTCAAATGCATTGAAGGCGGTAAAAACATTCCCGAAGGAAACATTTACCACAAGCCCCATCCCCATTTCCAGATATATTTACAAATATAGATGAAGCTATGTATAAAGCGTGTTAAGCGTTAATGAGTGGTGAGTAAAAAATTTAATTTCGCATTGAAATAGCAAGGACTTTCAATTCGAAATTGACGCTCAACAAATATCTATCTAACCAGTCTGTTTAGAATCTACAACTGTAAAATGATAAAAAAAATATTCCCAGTTTTTAAAATAAATATTTGAAAATTCTGACCTCGCTACAAGCAACTGGACCAGATGATAAATGTGACGGACAAACTTTATGAAAAATTGAGCGAGTTTATAAAAGGGTTCCTGGTAGCAAACGTTACAGGACGTCCTTGACCTCACGAGTGTTCAGTGCTTCTTCTGGGTGTCTTTTGTACATCGTAGAGATCTTCAGAGATGAATGAAAAAGTCATGATTTTTTTCTCAATAGAAATTCTAGCCATTTCCAAGCAGATATACATAAGCTACCTTATAGTATACATTTCGTATATCATACATACGTCACTTCCTGATAGGACGATGTCCTCCGTGAACTTGTGACTTATTTTACAAGTGACGTAGCAATTAACGATTTCCTATACATAAATTGGGATAGTTCTACAAAACTGTTTCATACTTAGATAAAATTACGTCAATCATTTTGCTACGATGAAAGAATAGCTGGTTTAACATTTTGTTCTGTGTGGTTTTAGATGTTAGGGGAACCTGTATTTTTACAGTCCTGTCAATAAAACAAAATTCATGTGGAATGTTATATAAACCATAATTACCTAAACACGTGTTTCCTTATTTCAAAGACTTACCATACATACTTATGAATTCATTTTGTTTATCAGTTCAAATTTTCATTCTATTTTTTCTGATTTTTTATTAGAAATTAGATGTTTTAGTTATCACACGGTATCCTCTACCTTACAACTACTTAATTAGCTTTTTCTAAATACAGTTGATAAAGCAACATAAGACTAGGTATATGATATCGCTCCAATTTCAACTAGTCTTTCGAAATCCTTCGTTGAATCTCCACCCGATGTCAAGTACCACGGAACATAACGCATTTAATATCAAAGCGACTGTAAACACTTGATGAAGCAAAGCTTTAAAACCATCTGTTCGTGATGTTTGTAAATACAGCTCGAACGAATTAATCAGAAACTTGGCAGTCATTTATTATGCTAAAAAATAAATTCAGCAACACTAGAAAAAAAACACACACACAAACAAAAAAACAAAATATACAGACAAAAAATTGCTGTAACGTCATGAATTTTCGTGTGGGATTTTTTTTATTGGTTTCGTTAGTACATCTAATCCAGGAATTCTTATATTCACGAACTGTAAAGATAAGTATATACACGTTGATCTTTTTATCCCAAAAATAGTGCCCACACAATAAAATTAAATCACAATATATGAACCCCGCGACCATAAATATCTAACCTAGATGCCACACGGCCTATCTGCGACTGTTGACGCCACGTGTCTGCAGCGCCGCCATCTTGGGAAGGTATTGCCGCTAGCACAAAGCCATAACTACACAATGGGCCTCATGCTAGAAATCCCACTAAAAAAAAAGTGTAGCTCGGTCACTAGCCCACGTATCAACACAAATAATACTTCATTTTAAAGCTGGGAAAAAGTTCTATGCTGTAGTCATTTCAAAGTGGAGTTATCAGGAATCAAAATTAAAGAAAAAATAACGGAAATATTTAAAATGTAAAAATTATAAACAAAAAAAATACTCATTTATTTTGCATAGGATAATTTTAACCATAGACATAAAATAACCCATCCCACCACCCCCCCCCCCTCCCAAAAAAAAAGAAGAAGAAAAAACCCCAATAAAATAGAACAATTAAGAATTAAGAAATAAAAAGAGCATTAAATTCATCCTTTTTTAAATAGTAACAAATAACTTGATAGTGGCAATGAAAAAACTATATAGAAGCGACGATGTGGGTCTATGGACCTTGTCCCTGGACAGGTGTTCACCCCAAAATGAATTTATTTTTAATGGCTTTCATATCAAAGTGCAATTAATTATATATCAGTGTCATTCATGCGACTGTCTTTGCTGGACCTCATTTCAAGAGGGATGGGGTAAGGAACAATAAACCCCAGGATTTACGCACTTATGTGTGAATACATGTTGCCACTCTATTAAAAGTTATATCAGCATGTAGAACACTGAATGCAAAGTACCACACAGCAGCTAACAGCCTCTGGCCACGAGATGCACTAATTATGAATATATATAGTCACATGCAGTGCGACTGTGGGAGTCTTAGTAAAAACATGAAACTAAGAGACATTTTCATTCATATTTTAATACATAACAATATGCAGGGTGAATCTACAAAATGACACGAGAAAATCAGGTGCACAATAAAAGTATTCCTTGATATTTATATGAGTAATGTATAAATAACATAATCCCACTGGCTACTTTCTTGAATTTTGGTGCATCAGGAATGCGGAGACCACAGCAAAACAATACAATCGGATCTCGCTTACTAGACCGGGAGCCCACAGGGGTCAGCCTAGCTGGAAAGGTAACAAAATTTGTTGTGCACAGCAAGGATCTATATACTTGGGCAAACAAAGAAATGAAAGTCTGCCGGTCCCCTGCTGGTGGGTGTGGTCCTCTGGGGCAGGATAATACATGGAAAATTTGAGCTAGCTTAGCTTTCATGAGCAACAAAGATAAACAACTCAATATGTAATAAGCGTGATAAAGTGTATAAGAAATGACCAATGGCAGAATTTTTTCGTAGTGGGGTACCCCTGCCAGAGCTCAAAAAAGGGCCCCCAAAAATCAAGCTAGCTCAGCTCATGGGGTAACAACTTAAAACCAGCCTCAAATTTATCAGTGGGGCCCACTTTAACAGAAAAGAGCAGTGACAGACATTTTCACTGGTGGGGGTCTGAGCCAGACACCCCAAAGTACCACGCCCTACAGCTGAGCTAGCTCAGCTCATGGGGTAACAACTTAAAACTAGCCTAAAATTTATCAGTAGGGCCTACTTTAACAGAAAAGAGCAGTGACAGACATTTTCAGTGGTGGGGGAGGGTCCGAGCCGGATGCCCTCAAAATACCTTGCTGATAGAACCATTTTGTCATGCATGCATAACTTTTAAACCTTTTTATTTGCTCCAGTCCAATGGGTATATCAACACATTACCTAATATTGCATTGAATATCCTCTCAGGCTTACATCGTGAATAACTAATCCCAGAGGATTTTTTTCCACCCAGAGTCAGTGAATCCATCATAGATACAATCCTAATTCAAAAGGTCATACAGATTTTCAAGAAAAAGTAATTAATGCCAGTTGTAGTGATCAGAGAGATCCCGTTGCATAGGCCACAGCATGCAACAGCATGCGCTTTGTAGCTTCTCCAGACTAAATTTTAGGGAGAGTACGATAGGTGCATGTGGTCCTGGATGTTCATGTCCGTATTTTTTTCCAATTTCTTCTCCATCATCACTTGATTTCACGCAACAGAGTACATGTAACACAAGAGTCAGGTGAGTGACATTACATTAGACTTGCTAAAGTTCACCAATTTGACTTTGTATTGAATTTTTAGCTCCTATTATCTGGTAAAAAAACTGGGATTATAGCCCTACGATCAGAGACCACAGAATTAGCGTTGACCAGCCAGTCAAAAGAACGAAAGTTCAGAACTTCGCTGCTGAGAATGTAAAGAAGAAGGTCAAAGTACCAGCTCTGAAGAAAGCCATTACCAGTGCAGAGAGCCTGCGTGATGCTTTCATCATTCTGATAGTGGCTGTCGCAGAAGAAACAAGCGTAGACCTTCGCAAGGTCCTGTCCTTCCGGTCATCTCATATCCCCTGTCAATTGCACACTGTGATGGGTCACATGTGAAGACAGTCAAGGCAGCACTGCTCAACAAGCTGGAGTCCATGCAGACAGTTCTGTTTACAGAGAAAGACCTCTCACAGGGGTATGCACAGATCTTTGATGATGGACTGCTTCTCCACTCGACACTCCACGAATATTGGAGCATCATACGGATCCATTGCTCGGTCAATCCTGTCTACTGTTTGTAAGGGGAGAGCCACAGAGGTGCACGTATGCCTTGCCAAATATGTCACAAATTCCATCAACACAATCACAGGACCTGATCAGAAGATGCGGCAGAATGGTCAGAAACTCCTTGGGAATGGCAATTTCAAGGATGAGCTGGGAAAGTTTCTGTTGCATGAATGGGGAAAAGAGCACTACCGCAATATCTTTGGAGGGAAAACAGTTATTGTGTCATATGGAGGAGACTGCTACCAGTACATTCCTGATGACCAACAGCAAGTGATATGTGTCACCAAGCCAGCAAACCTGCAAGGAGACCATGAGGAAGCAGACACACTCATAGCCTTCCATGCTGCTAACGTTACAGCTGGACAGATAATCGTCAGAGCCTCTGACACAGACGTGTTGGTGATCCTCATAGGTGCTATTGGGAGTCAACGTCCAGAAGTGAGGTCACTGGCGAACATAATCTTAGACTGTGGGATGGGGAATACGAGGCGATTCATCAATGTCTCAAATATTGCTTAAGTCCTGGAAGAATGCCAGTCCGGATTATCAAGAGCACTCCCAGGGTTCCATGCCTTTACGGGATGCGATTTCACGTC